TCAACAACTGTCCATCTGAGCAATGTGAAATTAATTTTGTAATATCTTAATAATGTTGTCTTTCCAAAAGCATTCACATCTCTTACAAAAAATTGATGTCACAGGGACTTTAAGGTTTCATCTACAGCAATTTGGGGTGAAGACCCCCAACTGTGGGTCCTAAAACTCCAAATTTTGGGTTGTTAGAGGATTTCCTGAAATTAAATTAAGTTTAAAACTGACAGCTAAGAACATTTCTGCTATAGTTAGATATGAATAAGAACAATTGGTCTATTAGCAATATTTGAATACTTCAACCAAAAATACTTTGATTCATAATTTTCTGCCACAGTTTTTATTTAATTTTTTTGTCATTTGTTAATTATGAAATTGGCCTTAAATTTAATATCACTTGGCATTAAAAAGTCTTAAAAAGTCTTACATTTAACTTGCTTTAAACTGTAAGAACCCTGTATTCAGACAAATGACATTGCAATAATAAAATTATTCAGTGATTACATGACAGAGCTTTTAAGAAACTGTTTAAGCTTTTTAAATGTGAAATAATTGGGACATTCCCTTATATTTGTTGGGAGACARTTCCAAAAGTGTCCCCCTCTGACTGACAGGACTGTTTGTGCTAATTAGTTAGTTCCATACAGGAACACAACCTTTGAACTAACAAAAGCTTAAAAAAATTGTACAATACCAAACTTTTAGTCATTTTTTAAAATACTATAATACTGTGTGTGGATAGTGTTTGAAATCACACAGTGGATCTTGCTGTTAGATTTTAGACAGAACCTGAAGCTGGTAATCAGCGGTCCTCAGTCCTGGGGTCGGATTTATAAAACTGGCGGACGCACAATTTGAGCCCAGAAACTTGCGTACGCCACTTTTCACGCCAAGGTTATGATTTATAAAATCCAAACTTGACGTGAAAATGTGCGGTGCCTCACGCCAGCTTTGACCCATGCGTACGCTCATTTTGGAGACGTGAAACTGCGACACAGATGGTGAAGTGAAGAATTAGAGCCACACTGTGTAATGATCACTGTCAGATATTTAATTTCACTTCAGCAGACTTAGATTTTTATTCAACTTTATCATCAGCTTTCCTAACAGTAATATTTGTGCTTCTACAGACCCCTTCCTGACCCACAGACCCCTCCCCGACTAGAACAGCAGGACAGCAAAAGTCACGCTTTGGATACACGCACAGGGCGCATCCACCTCGCCAGTGTGGATGTTATAAACCTTCACGTTTAAAGTCCGTGTTTGTCGCGCGCACGGGGGTGGGGGGTGGGGTCCGTGCGTGCACGTCTGTGTGTGTGTGCGTGCAGGGCGGGGGTGTCTGCCGCGGATAACAGAGCAGGCAGGAGGGGGAGAGGACGAGGAGAAGAGCGGTGGAC